AAAGCTGCCTAGCTTTATAGAATAACAGGTCCTTCTGTGAAAATGCCCTCTACCTGTTGCATCTCATGAGCAGGGCACAAGAACATACCCAGGTTTAAATGCTTAGGAAATGTCAGATATGAGAAGAGTGTTTATTGAGTAAAAGAAGAGAGATATCCAGTTGTTTTGCAACCCCCATCTTTCTTAAGATGTCTTTTTTTCCCCTGTCATCACTTTTCCCACCCTCTGCACTCTTTTCCTTCCTGAGTCTTTTCCAGAATGCTTCTAGAGCCCAGTCTCTGGCCCTGACAGGTTATTAAATGCATTTCCATTTTACTTTACTGTCTGACATAACATCCTGGTTAGGAATGAGATGGTGCAGGCATTTGGCATCACATGCTAAATCTTACATTGTGTGGCCTAGATTCAGGGCTCTTTTTAGAGAATGCTGGGCCAGGCTGAAGAATGTGCACATCTGAATCATTAACAATTATATGCAGATGAAATGGGGTGAAAGTGACCTGAAGAGAGAATTAGCAGTCACCCAAGTGCCATGTGGCTGGGAAGGAGAGAGGCTGTGCTGGAAGAGGGAGTCATCCTTACCTGATACATCCCCTGAGTATCCTGGGCAGGCAATTACAAGTCAAAGACTCTGAGCTTTTGGGGAGACTCTAAGAATATGTCTGCTCATCCACGCCCTCATCCATCCACGCCTCATCTGTCCACGCATGGTCTGTTCATGCAGCACGTGGTTATTGAAAGGCTGTGTGCAGGGGAAGTGCAGGGAGGTGCAGTAGTGCTGCTCGGCCTAGCAACCATCAACTGCTTCGCCATCAGGCTGGGCCCCATCACCAGCCTCACTCTCCTGTGACTCATGCACTGAAAGATTTTATCTAAAAATAATGTCTATGGAGTGGCAACTTTTTATTAACTGAAAACACCTGACAGTGCCATCCAGAGCCTTTGATTGTCACTTATACTAAACAAAGCAGTTAACACACTGGAGAGACTCAGCAAAGTATGGGGTCATATAGTCCCAGATTTATGTCCTTTGGGCCAAATAATAGTTTTCAAAATGGCATCAGTTGCCACAAAGGTCTAGTTTTTATTTGCAGGTGGACGATTTGGTAACACCAGTTAGTAACAGTCTCCTTTGAAAGAATTATTTGCTCTCTAAATTGCCTCCCTCTCCACTCAGCCTCTTTACCTTCTACTGTCTTAGGTGTTGAGTTTGTGATCCGCAGCTACCATCTTAGACAAATAAAGAAACAGAGGGCTGAGAAACTACTCTACCCAAGTCTACACAATTGGGAATCTGTGGAATGTGACTTCAGTTTTCTCATGCAGTGCTGTAATATCTTTCTAAGTAGCTGCTGTCCTTTAGTTTTGGCCCTATGTGGCATAAGAGCATCATCACTGTACCCTCATAGCATAGTAGTTATGCAAATTGGCAAGATTGTATCTCATACTCTGCCCAATTAGGGGGTCCCTAATGGTTCCTTAAGAATTTACAAGAGATAATGTCCCCTCTCTAAAAAAATTGGAAGTGACAGATTGGGAACTGTTACTTTCGGCTAGAGTGCAGAAAGGTATACTATGTGGATCTCCTCTAACTTCAAAGTAGCACTAACTAGCAAGGTAAACTCCAAAAGTAGAGTTTTGAGCCCACTAGACAGCTGAGGATATTTTTAAAAAGCCATAAATGTACTAAAATCCAGAATGTCCTTCTGATGAGAAGCTCTCAGGTGCTGTCATTTTAGTGGGACAGTGGAGACGGGGGAGTATATTACAGATGAGATGTGATGAGAGGGAGAAGAAAGATCTCGTGATGTCCAGAGCACAGAGATGGGACTGCAGAGCACAGTTTCCTTGCAGCCCTCGAGTTTGGAGTCTCTCAGAGTCTGAGTCTCAGGGGTGCTGAGACCCCAAATCCTGCTGCTAGGTCAGTCCTGAGAGCACCCCATGTGGTGGGAGCCAGTGTTGAGAAAAGTTTAAAGCTACACCAAAGCTGAACCTAAGGTAAAGTTTCAAGAAAACTTTTTTCATTGCTATAACAAATGCCTGAGGCTGGCTTCTTTATAAGCAAGGGATAGATTTAACTCTCAGATCTGGAGATCCAAAAACAAGGTAGCAGCACTTGCTTAGCTGTGCTGAGAGATGATATGTGGGAACATCATATATGATCAGTGGCACCACAGAGGGAGTGTGTGCAGGAGGGAACAATCACAGGGCAAGAACGAAAGTTGGAGACGTTCAGACTTTGCCCTCCTATAACACTCTGCTTTCTCTGCTCTCATGTGGCTTAAGTTGGGTCCCTTGAGGGGTCAGAAATCCAACTACCTCCTACCAGCCCCACGTCCTGAGTCTCCCATGCTCTTCCACACTGCACACCAAGCAGACCAAACCTCTGGGGGCATCACATGGATAGCTGAGCCATAACCTCCCACAATCAACCTGTTTCCAGACTATGTAGAAAAGGATGGTGGCCTGGCAAGCGTGAGGTCAGGGATTTGATCCTTGACACCAAAAAAAAAAAAAAAAAAAAAAAAAAAAAAAAAAAAAAAAAAAAAAAAAGAAAGAAAGATAAAATTGAACTTTAAAGTCAAAAGTTGACTTTTAATAATAATATTAAAAAGATGCTGAAGGTTTAACAGATCATGAGAGTAAGCAGCTCTCTGAAGAAGAGGAGTCTTCTGTGTGTGTGTGTGCCCACACGTGTGTGACAGGCAGACAGACAAGAAGGGAGGGAGAAGGAGCTGCCTATTTGGATTCAATAAACACATTTTTAAATGAAAATTAGAATACTATACAAACTTAGAGCTATATAGAGAGAAAGATTCCCATATACTTTGAGACAATTTTTAAAAATTACTTTTTCCTATTCATGTCAATATACCTGATGACTTTCTGAGTTTATTATTACTTTATCAAGGGAAAAAATAATTGCAATCTCTGTGTCCTCAGAGAAGAAATTTAGCTGCCAGATGTGGTGGTGATGCCTATAATTCCAGCATTCAGGAAGCTGAGACAGGAGGATCACTGCAAGTTTGAGGCCAGCCTGGGCTACATAGTAAGCTCAAGTCCACCTTGAATTACAGAGCAAGGCTTTGTTTCAAAAAAAATATCATCAAAGGAAGGACCAGAGATAGGATTTGTTGGATTGAAAGAGCTCACATAGTAATGATCAAGATAAAGATTTTCCATATATGCATGGGTGTTACAGTGAAATTTAAAACACACTCAAACTGAAAAAATCTGGAAAAGCTGCAGAAAGATTTTATTTTCATAAAGCAGACATTACTTTCTTTTGAATGTCCTGTATGGTAACCACCCCTTCCTTCCCCAAACCCCTGTGGATAATAGAAAGGACACTTGGCAGAGCATGTGACAAAGAATCCCATCTTCAGTCAGAGGCTGAAGACACCTCTGGAAGGAAGGACGCAGAGAGGTCTGGGCCAGCCATACACACGAGGTGGTGGTGCTTTGGGGGCTGGGAATAAACAGAGCCGCCATCAGTGAACAGCATCTGTGTGTGGAGCACCGGGGAGCATTGCCGTCTTCCTCTGGCTCAAGGGCAGCTGCAGGCCCGAGCTGAAGTTCCCCAAGAGTGAACAAGGATATCTCCAAAAGGAGCAAGAAACTTTACCCCAAATCAAGTTACTGGAACTCTTTGGGTATGGCACATCTCACCCTTACAGCTACAGCTACAACTTCTGGAGGACACCCTGTTAAATGGGTTTGTCACAGATGGGCACTGAACTGAGAATCACCATACACTTAAGGAAACATCAACCCCATGAACCAGAGATGGTGACTCTGCCCTCCAATGACCCTCACTGGAGAGCAGCAGTTGTGGAGCTGACAAGATTGGACTTTCCATGAGGCAAACAGTAATAGAGATGGAGGAGGAATTCATGTTCATGAAGCAAGAACATGTTGCTGTTTCAAGACTCTGAAAATATTACAAAGGAAATGAAATGCTTAGTTGATGTTTAAAAAGACATGAGTGGATGAAAAGTAGAATGTACACAGCAAAAAAAAAAAAAAAAAAAAAAGAATTGGCAGGCTGGAGGCTTGAATTAGGAGATAACAGAATGTTAAATAAAAAAGAGAGTATAAGGATGTTCCTGGACACAGTGGAGCAACATTTCAGTCCATTAAGAGAAAAGGGAAGATCTTGCAAGGCTTTAGGGATTCTGTTTTGATTTAGAGGTAAGAAGACACTGAGTGACTTGGGAGGTTGGGGGAAATTCCACCTATGCATTTTAAGTAGAGATAGATTTAATTTTGCAATATAATTTTGCATTTTGAAAAATAATAAATGAATTCTTGTTGCTTTCCATAGCACACTCTTCTGGTTGTTGAAGTCACATAATTCTCTCTGGGGAATGATTTGGGTTCTCCATGATATATGTGGGATACAATGCTGGTCAAAGTGAGGTCTCTGAAATGTTGTGCAGGTAAAGTATAGAGGTCAGCACAGAGAGGACTCCATGGCCTTCTGTATTTGTAATCCTTTTCCCCCTGTGGCCAAGATGTCCTTTACCTTCCTAGAGGTAAGCATAGGAGTAGTGGTTGGGATTTCCTTTCAGAATCCAAGGCTTCCCATGAAATGTCTGATGGTTCTTCGGTGGGGTAACAGAACTACCCAGTTTCTATGCTGAGCAAGAAAGAATGCCATTTACCCAGGATAATCTCTGGATGAATAGGAAAGAACAGATGCTGAACTTTTTTTTATATCAATTAGCAAGGACCTGCTTATTAGTAACTTGATAGCCTTGATTAACTGTACGGTCACTGGAGTACTGAGATCACACGTGGGTGTGTTTGGAACAGTCAGCTCAGAACATGAGCTCAGATTTCTTGGCAGAGTTTCCCTATGGTGAGAAATAATGATTGGCTTTATGATCACTGTGTCCATATGGACCCCCCCCCATATTTAATGTAATGTTGCACATTTTATTGAAGGAATTTCATTTTTATATTTTAACTCCTTAAATTTCTTTTGTGTGTGATTTTAGAGGCCAGAGCCCGCCGGTGGCTGAGTTTAACTTACTCCTGAAAGCTCACACTTTGGAAACTTATGGGGTGGATCCTCACCCATGCAAGGTAACTGTCCCTCAGCAGTTCATAATGGTTTTGCCCCAGATAGAATGAAGTGAAGTGAATGCCTGGCAGAATGCTCTCAGGAGATTGCCACAGCCTTGTACACAGATGTTGATCAGAAAGGACAACTGTGGGCCACGGTCACGTGTGGAGAAGTGATTTTGCTCTAGAGACTTGCTCACTTGTTACAATGTAGTACCCATGCTTCCCTAAGTTAGTAACAATGGACTTAAATATTGAGTAGAAGATGGTTTTCCTTTGGAAGCTTAAAAGATCTCAATGTGTTTTAAGGCCACTGCTGGCAAGAGTGCATTCTTTAAATATGGGAAAGTGGAAGGATAAAAGAAAGATTTAAATTACATTATAGCATTAGGAGTTATTTTACTCATGTAATTTGATAGTATTTTTCTCAAGTGTGAAACCAACCTCCCCTATCAGAAGCTGATTTAGAATTCTGGGGTCCGTCTGGGAAATCTTTCTCTTCATCAAGCTCCTGAAGTGATGATGCTATATATGTTTTTTCTAGAAATAATTTGTGTAAGCAATATTCTCCTTGGCATATTTTAACTGTGTATTAACTGGACATTAGCACTAATTGTAAAGTAGGTATTTGTATCAGTCAGGCTCTTAGAGATAAAGAGTACTAGCTCATTAGCACAGAGCTCGAACTTCTCATTAAAAAATCTACTGCCCGTCACACCCCTGAGCCCATTCCCTCAGAACCTGTGGTGGGCCAGGCCTCCAGTGTATGGCTAAGGAGGTGGCACTTGTCTGTCTTACTCTTCTGCTTGCATGATTGTTAGAGAATATTTTCTAGGTTCCCCTTCCACTAATGAGGTAAATCACTTCGCTTCACTTGGTGACTTTGATTTTGTTCAACAAGTTAAACCTTACTGTTTTTGTTTATTATTTTGAGACTGACTTGATTTTTATTGTTGTTATTAATCTTTGACCTTCACTTAATTTATCAATAAATTGCTTAGTGTTCCTGGTCTACGCTAGAAGCAAAGTAGACTTTCCTGGGCATAAATACTGAAAATACCAGAAATCCTCTAGGGTTGAATAACAGGATTGAATCTTGTGGTGTGACAGGATTGAATCCTGTTACAGAAAATACTGACAGTTTTGGTTTCATTGTATTCAAGAGCTACTAGGGAGCCAGACATGGTGTTGCGTGCCAGTAATCCTAGCACTAGAGAGGATGAGGGAGAAAGATCAATGTGAGTTCAAAGTCAGCCGGGGGTACAAAGTGATTTCGAGATCAGCCTGAACTACATAGTGAGACCCTGTCTCAAAAGGACCCAAAGAAGAGCTTACAGCAACCAACAAGAGTTTGCTCACACTGCAGAGCAGATCCATGGCACAGGTAGTCCAGAAGATATTTGAAAATAGACATCTTCTGGGCAAAATCTGTCTTTTTCCAGGAGGTTCCTTTGGGGACAGAAGGATCATTGCTCCTGAAAGATAAAAGCCACATAATTCTGGGCCTTGTCCAGATTTTGGAAGTCCTGCTATAAAGGAAATCTTAAAAACTGTAACGTGACAGTATATTAAGAACAGGAAAGGCAAGCCCAGTCTGTTTAGACTCAGCCAGCCATGAGATTGCAACACCAGCTGCAATTTGTAAGATAGACATACCTCAGCCAGAACGCACTCTTGTGCTAACTTGCTTCAGTTAAAGCTAACTTGAGCTAACTTGAGTCAGTTAAAGACAGTGATTCACGCAAACCCCTGACCTTCAGGAACCCTCTTCAGCCCAGAACAAATTTGCCTGACAACATATGCTACAACCTGTGTAACCCATTATAAAATAATCTGCTGTCAGCTTTTTTACTTCCTGCCTAAAATATATGTGTCTGTTAATCCCAAAGTGGGGCTGGTGATTTGGAACTCAGTTTCCCCCAGCCCGCTAGCATTATAAAGAGTTGCCTTTTAACTCCTTGGTACCTGTGTGTCTTCTGATTCAACCCTGGCTTTTTCCATACTCACTTAAAAGTTCTACCTCAGGAACCTCCATTGTTACAATCACTGATCTTGACCTAAAACTGAGCCAGATTAAAGATGAGTAGGAGTGCTACTTATCATGTACTTTATTTTCCTCAATCCAAAAAAGTTTTTATTTCCTTTTTTCAGGATTCAACAGGAGCAACAACATTTTTAGGATTCACTGCTACAGGCTTTGTGGTATTCCAGGGAAATAAGAGAATCCACTTGATAAAATGGTGAGTTCTTCTTTGGAAAACTAACTTACCATATGTATTCATGATTCCTTACCCTTCTCTTTGACTTGTGTGTGTGTGTATGAGTGTGTGTGTGTGTGTGTGTGTGTGTGTGTGTGTGTGTACAGTGCTGAGTAGATTGTCTATTATGTTTCTTTACCTTGGAGTATTACGATAAAGGCATTTATCACCTATGAGTGGAACCCAATCTAGGTTACCCTTCATGGGGAATTGAATTGTCAAGCTGAGGAGTCACCTCCAGAGATCTCGGCTGGAGAGCTCTGTGTTCATTGTTTGAACACCAGAAGCTTCTGCTGACCCAGCCAAAAGAGGGAGTGCAGTACAGGGCAGGGCTTGTGGCTGCCAGATCACTTCCCATTAGGTCCCACCCCTTAAAGGCCCCAGCACATGGAACTTTGGGGTTCAAACCATGGCAGTGTTTTGGAGCAGCTTGGGATCAATCTATTGTCTTCTACTCACTTGCCTCCACTTTTCTCTCCTACTGAATATTCAATGCAGGTGCACCCTTTGTTCCCCAGAGTATCAGTGAAGTTGCTTTTGGCAAAAAGTAGCAAACACATCTACCCAGAATGGTAAGAGGATGGGTGTACAAAACCCAAATCTGAGGGCTGTTACCTCATCTGTGAACTTAATTGCCCAAGTCATGACAAGGTCAAGTCTCCACTTTCTTTTCTACCATCTCAGGTTGGTAACTTGTTTCAAACTCATGTTCATGAGATGGATGTGAATATCAGTCTGGCTTCTTTCATACAATCATCCAGATCGTGGAGAAGAGGAGCCCCTTCCATGTGTCTCCTTTTAAAACAAGCATACCTTTTTCGGAATCCCTGTAGACTTCCCGTATTTTTAGTTGGACAGAACTGGGTCACATGTACTTAAGCCAGTCCTCGTCTAGACGAATGGAAAGTCCATGTGTACTTTGGTCTGTCAGGCTAAGCCCTTGGCTGGGCAGTGTACAACCTGCGTGAACACAGGTGAAGTGTAAGTTGTGTCAATAAGGGAGGAGAAGGATGGGTACCTCCAGTCAAGGGCTTTTCATAGCAGATGCTTTTGCTGTGGAGGGAGTAATGGTGCATGTTCTGTGTTCACTGGAATATTGTAAAGGCCTAGTGCTGTTCATCTGCAGCTTGACTCAGTTCCTTTTCTCATGGCCCCTGCAAGGCTTGTCCCCCTGGGAATTATGGGGCTGTGGGCTTGCTCTAAAGACTAAAGCTCTGAGTCCTTGGCTGTGACATTCTTGACAGGCCAATGGGCATCTTCAGTCCCCAGGTTGGAACTGCTTTCATGCACCCCGTGGAACCTCAGTGTCATGGTTCTGTGAACTTTGGGCTCTCTCCCATTGAGTTACCCCTTTCTTCCTCAGCACTCTGTCCTTTGCACCTGCTTTTCTTTCATGCTGTCTCTACTGGGTTAACATCAGTTAGCTATGCGCATGCCCTTCCATGTACCTCCTACTCTGTTTTTAAATGGCAGTGCCCCCTCTCTAAGACTCCTGATTCCTCTAAATATCTTCTTTGCCCTCTCAATTACTGTCTTTTTTTCAGCATATGTTTTGAATCCCTCTCTGTGCCCAGTTGTTTTCTTCTTCCATAGTTAGCATTCTCAAAACGTTCATCGCTTAAATTCTGTGACTCCTGGTATACCCATCCTCAGTGTGGAGATTGATTATTTCTGGCTGCCTTAGAATGAGAGAAGCAGACGGAGAAAAATGAAGTAATGGGCAAGAGTGCTTTGCAGACCTATTGCAGCTTGTGATATATAAAGTGTAATGGGAGTGTATTATCTGGCTTCCTTTTCTGTATTTTTAGCACTTTGCAGAAGTGCTCCAGTGTTAATCACCCTTGGTCCATTTCAGAATAGTTTCCCTAGGGATCTTCATGGACTTTGGAGAGCATGAGTAGTTTGGGGCTTTCCCCATCCTGCCCTAGGACCGCAAAGAGTTTAGGGGACCAGAAGGGTGTTAGATCCTCAGGTTTCTGAATTTGCTTGGACCCAGAGTAGTTATGCTGGAACCTGGTATATATCAAATACAGATTAGTTTCGGGTGTTTTCCTTCCCTTGATGTTATTTTTCTTCTGGGTGTGCAGAAGAATGGAAACAAGATATTACCTTATATCCATGAGAGCAGTGGAAAGCCCCAAGTGAGTTTATACACCAGCTTTCCTCCCAAGAGAGGATTTGCAGACAATTCAGAATCATTTCGCCCATATTTTATAGTTTGGCTGCATCTTTCCTCCAAGGAGCTGGAGAGTGTAAGTATTAACAAACAAAATGAATTGGCCCGCTAGCTTTTCAAGGCTGGAGCAATTCTCAGATTCAGTTAATGATGGATTCAAAGCATCTGACCTTCCCATCCTCCCACATCTAGCTCCAGGAAGCACATATACCACACTGCAACATTGTCATGTGCTTTCCTTATTTATGAAGAAGAATTGTTTTATTACATACTGAAATGCTCAAAATTGTGAGAACAACTTGGTAAATGATAAATTGTGGTTGAAAGCGTGACTTCAGATTTTATCCTCAGGGCTGTTCTCTTAAAACCTTTCTGGAATGCAGGCCCCAGAGGCCTTTTGGTGAGAAAATCATTCTGCTGTATTGTGGTGATATAACTGGTAGAACACTGATGTTGAGTTTGTGGATTCAGCAGGATTTGGTGGGGAAGCCAGGCGCTTTGGTTACCTGCTACTTTGTTTTTCCTTCTCACCCTGAGATTTTCTCTTCTTAGGCCGGATGTCTGCAAACTGAAGTTTGAAGGAAAGACATTTTATGTGATTGGCACACAGAAGGAGGTCAGAGATGGTTTTCTTCCCATGTTGTGTGTGGATGGGGAAATTTGAGGCTAAAATATGCCTGAATGTTGTAGCCCCAAAGACCAGGATATTTGAGTGTGATGATAATGGAAGCTATAGGCTGAAAACATTTTAGAGGTGAACAAATGAACACTGGGTTGCACAAGAGTAAAGTAGGTGAGCAATGCTGATTATACAGCACAAGGTGTAAAATAAGGCGAGGTAGACTTGAATAAAACATGGATCTCCTCACTCTCTGTGCTGAGGTACAGAAGTGGGGAACAAATGCAGAATGCTTATGAAGCTAGATGTCAGCCAGCATTAGAGAGAGTGATAGAAAGAGTCTGTAAGCCCCAAGAGTCTGAAAACACGGGGCTTACCAGATAAAGGTTGTGATTTACCAGGGAACACATTTACCAGGGTGGCCTTAGCAAAAAGTCAAGCCTCAGAGCTGGCCCTGAAGTTTGCACATTTTCTGCTCAATTACCAGTTACTCAAGTATGGAAAATAGGTGTTAAGACTAATCTCAGGCTGATAGAAAGACAGGTGATTCCTGGCGTGTTGAGAAAGCTTGTGAAACTGCTTTGATTTGGAAATGGGGCTCAATAGATTAAGGATGTCTGATGGAGAGTGGGAGGGTTACTGTTTGTATCATACTTTAAGAATCCCAATAATATGTGAAGCAACCTCAGAACTGTGGGCAGGAGGCAGGATACAAGTAGATAAATACCTAAAGGAAAAACTGTGTTGATGATACCTTTTTTTTTTTTTTAATAGAAAAAAGCCATGTTGGCATTCCACACGTCGACACCAGCTGCCTGCAAGCATCTCTGGAAGTGTGGGGTGGAGAACCAGGCCTTTTATAAGTAAGGACCTTTTATTCATTTACTAATAGATTTAAAAGGCACTCATGGAGCCCTTTATGTTTTGTGAATGGTTATATATTCATTTCTTTTTAAAAAAAGCTTTTTGTTATATTGGAGTGAATTATAAGTTTGGTATTTGGTGTGACTACAGATGTTGGCCTGATCAAGTCCTGAGCTCTGTGTTGGATGTTTTCTGTGGAGGCACTGTGGGCTATTTTTAAAAAATTGTTTCCGTTGAACAAGTCATATAATCTGTTTCTGGTTTCGGGCCCCTCAGATCTTGTGATGGAGGTAATACAAGTGGTTTTTATTTTTTATTTTTTAGGTATCGGGGATCAAACTCATGACCTAGCACTTGCCAGGGAGGCATTTATGCTGCTGAGCTAAATCCCTGGGCACAGGTTTTTATTTTTTAAATAGTCAATGGGTTTACCTGAGGGATGAAGGGAATTGAGGCAGGTAAGAAGCAATAGAGGATGCATTCTACCACAGTCTGTCTGCTAGGTTTAGCTCTGCGTACCTCTGTGGGGACTGGGTGGCGTGCCTTGAAGTTGTCTGCAGGCAAAGAGGCAGAGCTGTTTGTCTGCCATGGCCCCATTCACTTGGCTGAGTATTGCTTTGGGGGCAGAGATGTATTCTCTGACATTGGCTTACTTGGAACCTGGGTCAGATGAGCCCTCCCAAGGGACCTTTACAGTTACAGACTCGTGCATGTGGGTAGTGAGAAGCTTCAGGACAAAGATGTATGGGTGAAATGTCATAAGGAGTGTAGGACCATGGAGGCTGCGGTGGAGTGGCTGCAGAAATCCATTGGGTGGCTCCAAGGTCTCTGAAGAGTCCACACTGAGGATGGGTTCACATGATCCCACCTTGTCCTCCATGAGACCCGCCTGCTGCCTGGGAGGGCAGGGCTAAGGGACACAGTTAGGAGCTGGCCTGCCCTGTCCCATTGTCACCAGTACTACACATCCCTGGAATTTACTCAGGAAGCTCTTGCTCAGTTTCCCCACCCTGGATTTCTTCCTCATTCACTGGACTCATCTCACTGAAAGCAGCTGGGCCACTGAGGCTCCTGGGCTTTGGCCAGGAAGGACTGTCCAGAAAGGAGAACAATGACTTGGATAATGATGTTGAAACCTGTTTTTAGCCACAGAATTTTTTACTTTGAACTGAGGTGTAGGCAATGCCTAGAATATGGAGGTGAAAACAGAGACACTGTGATATGGATGGGGCTGATTCGGGACTGGAGATTAAAGATTTCATCCACTGCTCAAGGCTCCTAGGGGCTGGGGCGACAGAGGTGCATTTTGCTTGAACTTTCCCAGGGTTGGCACTGAGAGTCCTGTAAGCTGAAAACCACTAACTAGTGGGCCTTAGCAGCTGCATGATTTAACAACTGGATGAGACTATCCATGACATGCCACACAATTGGAGCGGCAGAGTGGAGCTGTGGATCAGTGACCTGTGGCAGCTCCAGGCCAGCTGGAGGGCAGTGCACCACTTGGAGCCTGCTACAGGGGTCGCTGGCCTTGGCGACATCCATGTGTCTAGAGTGCTCACTGTGTCAGAGAATAGGTGCAAAAACTCCGAGTGTGATGTCCTCCATCTTTAATCCAATCCCAAGGTTTTATTTTTTTAAATTATTTTTTCTTTTAAATCTTATTTAAAGAAAGACTAAACAAAACAGGAAACGGGTAGAAATAATACATACTTGCAAAGAAAAAAATAAACAGTAAGAAATCACTAGTTGATGATTACATATTGTCCTCTTACAAATAGTTGTTCAAGATACAAAAGTGAAACATACAAAGTGGGGATTCAAACAGTGAGACTGCAAATGGTTCTGTTCAAATATCCAACTTTTGTTTTGGACTTAAACATGCATGCAGTTATCCGTATCTTCATTTATGTTGAGATTAAATAAACCATAGCAGGCTAAAATCACTCTGAACAAAGAATAATAGTATTCCTGGATTTCACATCACAACACTACGGGATCAGCACTCAATACCCTAGTGTCTCTTTTTCTTCAAAGTATGTGTTCATTTCATCATGAGTTATAGGATCAGTTCTCGTAAACTGTTTATAGGTTCTACGCATGCATGAGTCTTAACATGTTATTTCTATCCTTTCTCTATTAGAGGGAGAAACAAAACAAAGCAAGACAAAAAAAAAAACATTTCCTATAAACACATGAAACGAAAAAGACGTATAAAACCACTGTACAAGGAGTTCTACCATGGTTACTGTGTTGTCCCTTGTTATCTTCAATAGAATTGGCTATATCATCAGATATAGTATAATTGAATATACCAGTACATAACAGCATTTATAGAAATACAACTTTGTAGATAGTATAAAACTACAAAAACAGGAAGTAATCAAACCAGAATGGATACCGTAGTGAATCTTGTCATTTTCAGTGTAGTTGCCTATATTCTCAGACTTGATACTATAAATTGTAGCAGTTTTGAATAAAATCTGTCGATACCAAACAGCAATCAAACAAACCAGGTTTAACTAAGATCAGTCATAAGAAAACAGTATAAGTTATACAGAACTCCAGATTAAATTAATAAGAAAAATTAAAGATGATTACTGTACTATATCCTGTTAGTTTTGGGATAGCTGTCTGTGCCCTCAGATATAGTGCAAGTAGACAAACTGTGACAGAATCTAAGCAGAACAATGCGAGTAACGTGGGTTTTAAATCCTGATGCACTATTAATGATATCCTCTGCCATCTTTTTAAGACTATTTCTCCCCTTTTACTCCCACGGGGTGCACTGTGCATTTTTGAGTCTCACTAACACCCTCAGTTTTTAGAGTTGGGGGACAACCTGCTATTTACCTAAGTGGTCCTGAACCTTCTCCCTCCTGGACTTGATCTCTAGTTGTATTCCTTTACCTACTAAAGCCTGTCTTTCCAGTCTATCTACAAAAACTGGTCAAGTTGCCCCTATTACTCTCTGGTTCTCTGTCACATGGGGCATTTTTTTCTCATATTTGATTTTCGGTCCATAATCCCTTTTTTGGGTTAATTATATTTCCTATACAGAACATCTTCGTGGACCCTACCTCCTGATCTACTCTGCCTGTGTTTCTCTTTTTTTTTTTTTTTAGTGTATCAAGGCCATCTATATTAGAGATTATAACCAACCTTCTCTGCCCCATTTCTGCTGTGCTTTTTTCTGCCATCAGTTGTCTGCTTTTCTTCTTCATTCCACTTTCTGCTGCATTCATTGAGGCCTCTCTGCCACTGTTCCTGGAATCCTGGTATTTTTCTCTCTCTCTCTAGAATGTCCTTCAGTATTCTCTGTAGAATTAGATTGGTGGTCGGGAATTCCCCCAGTTCCACTTTGTCTTGGAAGCATATTGTTTCTCCATTAATTTCTAGAGACAGTTTTTCAGGGTACATCAATCAGGGCTGGAGGTTATTTTCTTTCAGGGCTTGGAATACTTCACTTCAAGCTCTTCTTGATTTGATGGTCTGTGTTGGTCTGCCATGATTTTGATGGATTTTCCTTTATAGGTGATCTGTTTCTTTTCTCTGACGGCTTTTAATATTCTATTCTTATGTTGAATTTTTGGGATCTTGATCATTATATGTCTGAGTGTAGCTCTGTTTTGGTTGTAGATGGCTGGAGTTCTGTATGCCTCATACATCTGAATATCATTTCCTTTTCCTATGCTTGGGAAGTTTTCCTTAATTATTTCTGTGAATAGCCTTTGTAGTTCCTTTGATTGTACCCCTGCTTCTTCATTCACATTCTTTGTTCTTAAGTTATAGATCCTCTTGTCATCTTCTAGCCTTTGTATTGTTACTGCCTGTTTCCTTGTTATTTTTAAGAAATTTTTCCTTTTAGTATCCCACATTGCAAGCCATCTTCCAGTTTGGATAATCTATCCTTAGTTTCTTTCAAGCAGTTTTGCCAGCTTCCCATGGAGTTTTTTGTCTCCTGGTAATCTCTTTGAACCTGCTTCATGTATTCTATGTTTTCTTTATATTCTTCATCAAACATTTCTCTCTTTTTTGTGCTCCTCTGTTCTGTCTGTGTCTTTTTGAGAGGTGCTTAGCATTTCTTTTATTAATCTACTTATATCATGCTTTACTTGGTTAAGTATTTCACTTTTGAACTCATCTATGAGGTCCCAAAGATATCTCTTTATGTCCACTGATGCAGTGTCTGATATTGCGTGTTTGCTGTCCTCAATATCTTTTGTATTTACCTCTCCTGAATCAATGTTCTCAGGGTTGGGGGATGGGGATTTTTTCTTGTTGCTTCCTCTTCTCATGTTTTTGGTTTCTTCCATACAGGCATATACAGGAGGTCCCAGTCCCTTTCCTTGTTGGTTATGGTTCTTCTGATCAAGCTGGCTAGGTAATCCTGCCCACTGCAGTGTGTTATTGAGGTGCAAGCAGGGGTGGTGTATGCAGGCTCCTCCCTTCCGGGTGAGTCAACCTGCTGAGGCCTTCACTGCATTAGTGTGCATCATATATAGGGAATTGGTTTGGGATAACTTATTGGGTCTCAGCCAGGGATGTGACCCAGGCCAAGCATACCCCACCAATCTCATCTGGGAAGGGAATAACTGACTGAAGTCACTGAAGTCCTTGTCCTTGCCATTCCTGCCCGATCCAAAATGTTGTCCTGTTGGTACCCCTTTCCCGTGCAAAGGTTTTATTCCCAGCACTCACCGCAGGTCAATGCAGGTCCCTTGCCGGCTCTATTTTCCGTTGGGCTCGCCAACCTCCAACTTCAGTGTGACTGCACTTCAGTGCAACTGCAGTTCCAGCGAGTTGAAGTGGTGGGAATTTGGGCACACAAGAGCTTGTAATCTTAGCTGCCTCAATAGTAGCTCTGGGACTGCAGGTTTGACTGGTTCTTTTCACTTTACTTTCTTCCTGGGTCAAGAGGATCCATCTCCTTCTGTTCAGGACTCCCCATGATGTGTTATTTCAGCATCTGAGTTGTCTGTCTCAGGGAGCCTCTATATTC